GTCCTCCACAAGCCGGCAGGATTGACTTGTAGTAAAAATAACTTGAATTAAATTTAAGTAACCCTAAGCAAATTCTAGAAGTCTGGAAACAAACTAGTGTTGCAGTATTTCTCTGATGTGGAAAAATACTGCTTTCATGATGGGATTTTTATTGCTTACGGAATACTACGAAAAGTAGAAAAGTAATGCTGGAAATCTAACGGGAAAATATCAAACGGAATACAATAAAATAATGCTGAACAGGGAAAGTAAAATTGAAAGTAATAATACTGCGTAATTGTTCAAAGTGCCAGAGAGAAATCGAGCGTGAGGGAGAGAGGAGAGCTTCAATTTTTGGTAACTTCTTCCATATATAGAGTCCATTTAGTTGAGTAAAAATAGGTAACTTCTCATGATTCTCGTTCCTGAAGCGTGGAGAAAATACATGTGAACATGTGTTTAGTACGCTTCAGTGGCGAAAGGTTCGTAACTGCTTGGATCGTGGCGAGCTTGGTGTGTATCGTGACGTGGGGCATATAATGAACATATGTCCCGATCATAACGTGAGACGTTCTGAGGGGCATAAAAATCAAACTTTTCCCGGTCGTAACATCCTGTGGTGGGCGGCACGCTTCTGTTTACAGAAATGCTGCGTTTTACTGTTTTATAGCCATTTCTTCTTCATTTTTCCATTCTTTTTCTTCCTTTTCTTATTTATGCCTTGCAAATGTTAAGTACCTGAAATATGTTTCAAAAACTACAAAAAGGGATAAAATGTGACATAATAATCAAAGAATCGAAAATTTAATGTATGTAATTCGAGAAAAAAATGCTATATCTTTTCGTGTTATCAACAACCCCCCTTCTACACATGTCTATTGTATTAGACATATATCACCCAAAATTTCATGCGGGAGATCAAAGACAATATTCTTAAGAAAACTCTTATGAACGCGGTGTATGCATTAACTCAACCATCATTCCAACACTACCGCCACGAGATAAGATTTTCAAATCTGGATGGGGGCAGGTGGATTGATAATCTTGCCAAAGAGAAGTGGACGAGGGAATATGACAATGGACAACGACAGGGCCACATGACAATAAATCACGTGGAATCGATGAATGGTGTTTTCAAAGGCATCGAAAACCTTCCTATAACCGCTTTGGTGAGATCAACCTATTTTAGGATGGCTTCATTGTTCGCGAAAAGAGGTGAAAGGTGGAGTGCAGTGTTACAATCAGGGCATTTGTTTAGTGAAAGCTGCATGAAATTTATAAAGAAAGAAACTGCCAATGTCAACACCCATAAGGTTACAGGTTTTGACTGTTTTAACCATACTTTCAGTGTCAAAGAAACAATTGACCATAATGAGGGGCTTCGAAGACAAGAGTACCAGGTTATACTACAAGACGGTTGGTGCGACTGCGGAAAGTTTCAAATTTTTTGCATGCCTTGCTCCCATCTCATAGCGGCAAGTTCATATACTCACTGAGATGCCTTAAATCTGTTATCTCCCATTTACAAGGCTGAAACCTTGCTCGGCGTATACAATAATGTTTTTAAAGTGATATCCAAAGAGGATTACTGGCATGCGTATGAAGGAGAAGTAGTTTGGCACAACGATAGAATGCGAAGAAACAAGAAGGGTTGCCCCAACAGTGTGCGTATTAAAACCGAAATAGACGCGGCTGACAAAATAGAAAGGAAGTGTAACATATATCGTCAGGTAGGACACAATCAAAATAATTGTCTCAATCGTGGAACTAGCTCCACAACATAATAATTATATGCACTATTTGTAATATATTTTTAGAAATCAATTGAACTTTATTTCTTTCTTAAACATATTTGTTACAACTAAACAAACATGAATGAGACTAAAACAATAACATACACCATTATAAAATTATATAACTCAACAAGTTGTCTAAGATATCACAATCCTCAATACAATATGTTCTGATCCATGCATCATATGGCAGACATCATTGTCACTTTTGACTTCGTCCAACCAACTTTCTTGTTTTCCTGTCACAATTGAGGTGACCGTTCTACACCTCTGAATTATTCGGTTGATTTCACCATCTTTGTACTCTCTTTCTAACCAGTGCATCAAGGACCTCTTAAGATGGTTCATGGAATGGATGTTCCAAAATTTTATTTTATTCAGAGGTTTGACAGCAGAGAAAATAACATACACATCCCTTTTAAAAATCATGTCAGATGCCATGAGAAAGAAATTTAAGAAAGTCGGAAGAAATGTAAAAATATACTGGAGGGTGATGATTGTATTTATAGAAAAACGAAAAACACATAGGAGCCAACTGGGGTTGCACCTACATATAAATGTTGTACATAAGAGCCACCTGGAGTGGCGCCTTCCTTTTCTTATGCACATAGACACCACCTGGGGTGGCGTGTACTTTAATTTTATACGTAAGAGTCATCTAGGATGGCGGCAACACTATTGTAAACTAAAACATGGTTATTTAGATAAATATTTTAAAAAGTTGATTATTTGTGTAATAAATTTGAAAAACAGTTATTGCGGAAAAAATTCATTGTTTGTCATTTCTCCCTTTATCTCAACTCAAGTGAATATATTAAACTTATATTTTACAATGTTTTTGTATTATATTGTTTTTTTTCTATTCGTATTAAGTAAAATGATAAAGGTTTAATTGTAATTTTAGTCATTCTATTTAATTTTTTTTCTTGATTTTGATCTCCTATTTTAAAAATCACCATTTTAATCTTTTTTTTTAATTTTTTTTTAAATTTTCGTCCCCTCATTTTAAAAATTGTGATTTTGATCACTTTTTAAATTTTAAACTACAATTTTAGTCTCTTTTTTAAGTTTTATTTTAAATTTTGATCCATTTTTCATCATCAATAGAATTAGAAAGGGGACTAAAGTTACAACTTAAAACTTAAAAAAGGACCAAAATCATAATTTTTAAAATGAGAGGGCGAAAATCAAAAGAGAATTTAAAAAAAGATTAAAATGGTAGTTTTTAAAATAGAGGATCAAAATAAAAATAAATAAAAGTTAAATAGGAGAACCAAAATTACAATTAAGCCAATGACAAATAAATAAAAGAACGTAACAAAATTTATTTTTTATCCAAACTATCGTAAATGTGATGTGTGTTAATATAGAAATTATTAAGTCCAATATGGTCCGTTAGTAAACATTCTCTGTATAATAAGTTATATGAGAATGTGAAAATGAATAAAAATTATCACATTAAAAATGAAAATTTGAGATTAAACGTGTTAAAAATCCAAATTATACATACAAGTATAGAGGAAAAAGAAAAACATCATATGTTTTAAGAGAAAAGAAACATAGCTAATCAATTTTTAAAAATATATTTTAATCACGAATTTTAATTTATTTTAATCACAAATTTTAATTTAAATCTTACCGTTGTTATTAAATTCTCATGTTCTAATTTTAATGTAATAATATCTGCTATCTAGTATTGCCATTACATCATCCAATTTCTTCTTGTAACTAATTAAAGAGGAATTTACAAATTAATAAAACAAAATGGATAATTTCGTTTCCGAAGAAAACCCATTTCATTCTCCTATTAAAAAAAAATCCTAATTCATTCTTAGGGCCCCAACTATCACATAAGATTATTGTTTTGGCATTCAAAAGTAGGTGAAACTCAAGGAAGCGAGTGGAATTAGAGACCTCAACAATCCTAACTATAGTGAATACGTTCGCAAAAATAAAACAAATGAATTGACGGGACCCCGCACAAGCAATGAAGCACGTGAAGAACTTTACCAAGACTTGACATGTCACAAACCCTCTTGAAAGAGAAGAGCATCTTCGAAAATGCAAACACATGTGGTGCATGGTGGTAGCCAGCTTGTGTTGTAAGGTGTTAGGTTAATTTTTACATTAAACACAACCCTCGTGCAAGATTTCGGTGATAACTGATAAGCCAAATGAAGATGAGGATGACATCAAGTCATCATGCCCATGCCATGAGCACAACCCTAGTGCAAGATTTTGGTGATAAGCCAAATGAAGGCGAGGATGACATCAAGTCATCATGCCCATGCCATGGGCAACACATGCTATAATGGGCAAAACAAAGGATGTCACGAGGGTGAGATGACTTTAAAAACCTTTACAAGTATAATATTGGGTTTTTGAAATATGTCAGGTAACTTATTTTTCAAAAGTTTATCAACCGTACAACAATTGTGGATTGATTGACTACTGATAAATATAGATCTTTTATTTTCCTTTTTGTGACACTCACTATATATGAATACATGTTCGAACGATGTTGTATGTCATGTTGCAAACCTTGTCTCAAGGGCTTCATTCAGATTAATACCGCTTTAGTTTGGTTAAAAAATATTAATATCATAAGCATGACTTTCACAGCCTGGTTGGTTCTAACTTCTAAGCCTTGCCACTTACACTAAAAACTTGCTTTGCAACTAGAAGAGCTAAATAACTTCTATAATGTCTACATGATAGTATTGCTACTAATTTTAGATGGAAAAGAGTACTTTGGTTTCTAGCATTGCTACCAATTTATAAGATTGATCACGCTCTACTTTGGTTATTTGTCACTGTAAAATAGTATAAGATTGATTACAAAATGCTCGGGCCAACAAGCTTTGAAGTTATAACTCTTAGCGTTGGAATTGTTGTTTGACCTAATATAATATCAGATTGCTGCAGAATATTTGACTTATTTGAAAGAATATAAGAAAAAATTGAAAAATATACTAAAACTTAGCAAGTTCCACTATTTAGTGGTAATATAACTCCAATGTCACCAACAAACCACGAGTACTAAAGATACATCAACAATAACTGCAGAGTACAAATTACCTCTAAAACGCACATACATCACATATACGCACAATCTGACAGTCAAAATACAGTTTTTACCTTCCTTCTTCAAACTTCACAGTCAAAATACAGTTTTTACCTTCCTTCTTCAAACTTCAGACAGATACCAAAATAAACCTATGTAAAATATCACCTAGGCCCCCGAGCATACCTCCTATCTGGGCTGCCATATGGAGCATAAGGTGACCTAGACCTCTCCCTCCTATACCTTCCACCACCATAGGGAGAGTGCCTTGGTGGTGAATAATCTCTGCCACCTCGATATGGTGAGTGCCTTGGAGACCGACGGTATGGATAATCATCACGACCATATCCACCGCGGTACCTTCCTCCACCTCCACGATCATCGCGATATCCTTGAGATCAACAAAAGATGAAGTTCATTAAGATTTCATAAAACAAGCAATAAATTAGGTTCAACGTTTAGAGAAGTGTCTCAAACTTACCAATTTCTCTAGTGTTTTTCAGCCCAAGATAGTGCCCAGGTGTGGGAGTTCTTGGCCTCTTTCTCTTTGACTGAAATAAAATAGAGAAACTGAACCCTTAGAACTTTGTTGATAGAAAACAGATATGCACCAATCATCCATGTAACACTGAACATAAAACAGATTGAATCATCTGATATATCCATCACGTAGTATTAAATTGTAAAAATCAAACCCTTTCAAATTCTACGAAGAGCCCATTAAAAGAAAGTTTCATTAAGAAAGAGTCTAGTTTATATTTATTATATTAGTGAAAAAAGCAAACACTTTCAAATTCTACTAGGAGCCCTTTAAAAGAAATTTCATTAAGAAAAAGAATCTAGTTTATATTTATAATATTAGTGAAAAAGTTATATCCACACACTAATGATCAATGCCAGGTGTGAGATACCATAAAAGACTGATTAGAAAGTTGTTGATAATGTCCGTTGATTATTCGAGAGTTGAAAGTGAATGCTGTAGTTGTAAAGTTGTTGAACATTATAGTCGTTGCTAATGTTAAGTTGATCAGAAGCATTTGATTAGTTGTTTAAGCTTTTGCCAATTATCATGTTGTTTCAGTAAAGTTGAAATGGATGAACCGGTCATCTTTGACTGTTGCCAACATAGCTGATGTAATGCATTCTGAATTTCAGCACAAAACCTTCCAGTCAAGAAGAAAGAAAAGCATAGGTGTTTATCAACTAGTAGTATATTAAAACACACATTACCCGATCAACAGTGATATAGCGACCCTCTAAAACGGATTGATTCAGGTGCTTGATACAGCGGTTTGCATCCTCAACAGAATCCATAGTAACAAATGCAAAACCACGAGATATGCGCGTACGGGGCTCCACCACAAGAAAACATGAAGCAACCTAATCAAGTAAACAACCCATGACAGCCATTCAGAGATTAGAGTATCACCACCGAGGGAAACTCTGATGATTATAGAATCAATACGATACTCACCTTTCCTTCCTTAGAGAAATGCTCCTCTAGGTCTCTCTCAGTGACCCTTGAAGATAAGCCAGTAACATAAAGTGTATCTCCCCCATTCCTAACACAACACAAAATCACAAAACTAAACTACATAAACAAAGTTGTTTCTATCAGAAATACTCAAAAAGGTAAGAGTTAGTATTCCAATCGTGAAATTGACTAACCTGTCAGGAGGACTTCTTGATCTTGATCTATCAGTAAATAAACAATGAAGGACAAAGAGAGAACATTAGAAGGCATAAAATGCAAAAAACAATGATTGAATGCTAATGAATGACTAACCTGCCACGACCTCTCGAGGGAGACCTAGGCCTTTGCATTTCAATAGATCTTGACCGAGACCTAAGCCTAGGCTTTTCGAGAGACCTTGACCGAGATCTAGGCCTTTGCATTTCAAGAGGCCTTGATTGAGACCCAGGCCTTTGCATTTCAAGAGACCTCGACCTCGACCTAGACCTAGGCCTCTGCATTTCGATAGACCTTGACCGAGACCTGGGCCTGTGCCTCTCAAGGGACCTCGGAGACCTAGACCTAGATCTTGATTGACCCCTCCATGGGGAAGGAGACCTTGAAAGCCTGAAATATTCCATCATAACCAGATAAACCAAAATAGGTTCACAAAATGCAGAGTCAACAAAGATGATCAAAATAAAAATAAAAACAGATCAAAATAATTAACATTAATCTAAAATCAAACAAATAATTTATAATGTTTAATTCCATTTCTGTTAGGGTTCCAATTCCAAACACATAAACGAAGAAAATTGGATCAAAAGTATTTGATAATCATAAGTTCTGTAATCAAAAGAGAATTTTAGGGTTACCTTCTTACTGGAGAATCCGCCTGCAAAATAATTGAAGAATAACAAGAAATCGTTAAATAAGGTTCGACAAGAATTAAAATGAGGTATAGACCCAGAGAGAAAACTTACCATTTCTACTAGCGACGAACAACGATAGCGATGAAGAACAAAGCCGCAGCGATGAAGAACAAAGCCGCAGCGACGAAGAGTTGGGGTTTTTCACGTTTTTGTCTTGGGAGACGTAACGAATGCTTCTTTGTTGTGGTTGACGATGTTTTCTCTCTCTCGTTTTTATTATAAAAATTATTATTACACTTTTTTTACATTTTTATATATAAAAATATTATTTTCTTCAAACAAAAATCAAATCTCAGAATAACTATAGCAAATATATGTAATACTATAAAAGTTAGTTTTAAAAAATAAAAATAAACCGACTCATAATTGAGTAATGTTAACATGCGTAATATTGGCATAAATTAATAATTTATTTATAAATTTTGTTTAAAAATATGTATATTTAATTTTTTGAAATTATAAGTATTGATTATTTCAACACAATTTCTTTAAGTTATGTTTGGATATCATGAAATGAACGAAATGAAACGAAATGAAGCAGAGCGGAATGGAGTAAAGCAGAACGAAGATATCATTATATTATTTAGAAATTTTAGGACGGAACAAAGTAAATTGTTCATTCCGTCCAAATCAGAGGAAAATGAGTATAGTGGTGAGTGATAAAATGGAATGGAATCCATATCACTCCATTCCTCTTTGTTCCATCCGTTTTTAAATTATTCAAACAATGAAATATCATTTTATTACATCACATTCTACTTCGCTCTATCTGATTCCATCAATCCAAATATAGTCTTATAGTACTTCTTTTTTTTAAACTTGTGCATTAAAGATATAACTTATATGACTAAATATAATTTTAGATCATATTAAATTGTGCCCTAATATATTTTGAAGGAGGTGTAATTCCTTTAGAGATAATCATTATTATCATATCTCTATTATAACTATGATTATAAATGTGAAATAAAATGGAATTAGATATGAGTTTTCCAAACCTTAGAGGCAAGAAAACTTTATTTTTTTGTATCTTTGTTATTTGTCTGGATAAGTTATCTTATTTCTCATACTGTGGAGCAAGGTTTTTTTGGAAAACTTTGAAGGCGGGTAAAAATGGCCATTTCATATCTCATTTGATGTTTGTAGATAATCTTTTATTGTAATACCCCATTTCTATCCAACGAATTAAATAAAATCAGAGTTATAAAAATTTTCAACAAATAAATGGAATGCTACACTTTCAACTTAAAACTACGACATTCAATCAGCTATAGTTCAGATACATAACACACGAACTTTAGATGAACCGATAACAACTTGCTTAATCTTTAAAAATAAAAACAACTTTCATTACTACGCAGCGGATTCACAAAATTCAACTGAAAACACCATAACATCTTATCCAACTCAAAACAATTCTAAGACAACAAGTCTTTTTAATGGAAACAACTAAAAAATTCAGCAGCATAATGAAAATCAACAATAAAGAAAACATGCATTCATCCCCCCGAGTGCTATGTATCAGAGTGACAACACCGACTCGAACTAACGAGGGTAACAGCTAACCTTCTTGATTACCTGCACGTTACCAATAGAGGACAACATTCAAACGGAAGGGGTGAGATATCGAACCATATAATCGGATATACAATAAATAATATATTAGTATTAGATCATACAATTCACCACTTCACAACTTTTTATCAATATTCAACATGATTAATTCATCTGCACGACAACTCAGAATGCAACATGATATGCAACTCGTTTTTATGCACATACATGTGGTACCAATGGAGCAGAACTCCCAACTTAGAAATCTGTCAATAAATAGAGGCATCAACAAGGCACAAGCCTTGAACTTTATATTTTCCAATTCAGGCCAACTTGACGAGCATCAGCTCCAACATGATATGTTATGTATGCATTAACGACATGAATGTAACAACAACAACAACAATAATTCAACTTAATTCAACATTGGCCATAAGTCTGCAACTTAATATTTTGCCCATTAATAGAGGCAATGAAATCACCTACAAATTCACATTTTTCAACAAAAATGCCACCGAACAGATCAACCAAAAATTACTACAATGAACTGCATAATTATTCAGACTATTTTGGCTAAAATCGGTTAATTAATTATCGGCCAAAAATTCTATTATTTCAATTTTATAAATCCTACAAAATTATTTATTAAAGATATTAAATTATTATTATTAAATATTATGTATTGATAAACCGGAACGTAGTAGCTACAGTATACAAACTAAGTGCCTCTAAAAGTTGCTTCATTCTATGCGCTACAGAATGCAAAACGAATGCCATTAAATATTACTTCTAAAATTTCACTACAGCATTGCAATTTAATTACTTCTAATACTACTTCATCTTATATTGCTACAGTAGCAAGTTAATATTCCTAAATACTGCTTTATATGATCGCTGCATTGCAAGCCAAATGCCTAATAAATATTAATTCAATTCAATATTGCTACAGTATTCAGCCACTTGCCTCCAAATGTTAATACACTTCATTGCTATAGCGCTACAGTATTGCAGGGCAATGTGTCTCCAAATGCTACTTCCTAATTTGTGCTACAGTCTTCAATTAAGTGCCATCAATTATTAATTCTTACATTTTGCTATAGCATTCAAAAACAAATGCCCTCAACGTACTCCTTCTTCCATCGCCATTGTATGCAAGTTGTATGCCAAACACCACTTCATTCTTGTACCGTCACAGCAAGCAAAACAATTGTCCTTAGCACTACTTCATTATGTTGTTACAGGAACAAGGCAAGTTCCTTTTAGAAGTTACTTCATTAAATATTGCTACAGTGTGCCAAACTAGCTACCTTCCATTGCTTCTTCAATTTATGCGCTACAGTATACCAAACTAACTGCCTTTGTAATTATCACATCATTTAGCGCTACAGGAATAAGTAAGCTAATTGCTTCTACATACCACTTCTTTCTTACGCTACAGGAACAAGAATGGAATTTTGCAAAGAAAATACTAAGGCACTTATTTATATGCATATTTAGTTATATTGGATCCTAAATCATCTCTCAATTTCATCAATATACCAATTTCAAACACAACTAGAATTAATTTTTATAACCCAAATTCACATACTATTAATCATACATCTTATTATAGAGTCAGAACTCCACCCTTACCTTGGATTAAAAGCAGCTTTAAGAGACTTCAACCAAATTTTTGGAGAATTTGGCACTTGAAGAAATTTTTCCTCTTCTTCTCCCCTTACAAACCCTATTTTCTTCTTTTTCTTCTCTTCCTGATAACAACACTCTCTCCTATTCTTCTATTTCTATTCTAATATAATATATCATTATATTAATCTAAATAAATCCAATTGGGCTTAAATGCTACACCCCACTTTTACTACACAACACCACCAATTAAGCCCAATATCATATTTAAGCTTAATAATAAAATAACACTTTAACCTAATTCCACCAAATTAAATCCGATTAATTATTATTCCAACTTAATAAAATAATTCTGACTTCGAAGATAAAAATTTGAATTAATAAATAAAACATTCAAAAATATTTAATTAAATAAATAATTAAATATTGGGGCGTTACAACTCTCTCTCACTTAGAATATTTTCGTCCTCGAAAATAAAAGTTTACCTGGTTCAAATAACTCAGGATAGGAGTCTCGCATCTTGTTCTCCAACTCCCAAGTCATGCTCTCTCCAGCAGCACCTAACCAGACAACCTTCACCAATGCAATCTCTTTTCCTCTTAGAATCTTCATCTCGCAATTTACAATTCTCACAGGCATCGTCTCCATCGTGAGATTATCCCGTACTTGCACATCGTCCATCTGAATCACATGAGATGGATCAGGAATATACTTCTGGAGTTGTGACACACGAAACACATCATGCAAATTCGAAAAATTAGGCGGTAAAGCCACTCTATAAGCAACATTTCCCACTCTTTTTGAAATCTGATACGGACCAATAAAACAAGGAGTGAGCTTCTTAGACTTCAGAGCTCGCCCAACACCAGTCACATGTGTGACTATCAAAAACACATGATCACCAACTTGGAATTCCAAATCTTTCCTTCTCTTGTCATGATAACTCTTTTGTCTACTTTGTGAAGCTTTCATCTTTTCTCGAATCAACTTCATCTTCTCAGTAGTCTCACGAACAAGTTCAGGTCCAAGTACTACACTTTCACCAGATTCATGCCAACATAATGGAGTCCTACACCTCCGACCATACAACGCCTCAAAAGGTGCCATCCCAATACTAGAATGGTAATTGTTATTATAAGTGAACTCAATCAACGGAAGATAAGTATCCCATGAACCTCCCTGCTTAAGAATACATGCTCTCAACAGATCTTCCAATGACTGAATAGTCCTCTCGGTATGACCATCCGTCTGAGGATGATACGCCGAACTCAACCTCAACTTAGATCCCAACGCCTCTTGCAAACTTTTCCAGAAATCAGAAGTAAACCTCGGATCCCTGTCCGACACAATACACAAAGGAACACCATGCAACTTCACAATTACACTGGTGTAAATTTCTGCCAACTTCAAAATCGGATATGTGATGTTAATAGGTATAAAGTGTGCTGACTTCGTAAGCCTATCAACAATCACCCAAATTGAATCGTGTCCACTCAAGGTACTAGATAATCCCGTTACAAAATCCATAGAAATGCTATCCCATTTCCATTCTGGAATCTCTAACGGTTGCATCAACCCTGTAGGCTTCTGATGTTCAACTTTCGACTTTTGACAAGTCAAACATGCATACACAAACCGAGCCACATCACTCTTCATTACAGGCCACCAAAATAAATTCTTCAAATCTTGATACATATTTGTAGCTCCTGGATGAATACTCAACTTGCTTTTATGACTCTCTTCAAGAATCACTTTCTTCATCTCCACATCATCAAGAATACAAATTCGATTACGAAATCTTAACATACCTTGCGCATCCAACTTAAAATCATTGTTCTCAGACTGATCAATCCCAACCATCGAATCTACCAAC